GTTGAATTGAATGAATTCCATGTTGAATATAATTGTTGAATTGAATGGATTCCTTGTTGAATTGAATGGATTCCATGTTGAATATAATTGTTGAATTGAATGGATTCCTTGTAGAATATTATTGTTGAAATGATTAAATTCCATGTTGAATATAATTATTGAATTGATTAATTCCATGTTGATTGAGCACAAATATTAGTATAAGACTTATATTTGGGATTGATTGCTTAAATGTTCATAGTGTCAAAAGTAATATAATATCTTTCCTTATTTTGTTGAATCCAATGTGAATTTTGCATTCAGATTTAATGCACATTATTTAGTATTTTACTCAGCACCTATATATTTTCTTCCTTTTAAGTTAGAATATAAAATAAAAAATATATATTATATCTTTAAGTGTAAGAACTCAAAGTCATTTATTCATCCTAATGTATTTGATAAATATCAGAAACAGCTTTTTTTTTTATAACTGAAATCAAACAACATACCTAACGAATTCGAAATTAGGCTTAAACCTTTCTTCTTTAGAAGAAAGATAGAATGTTCGATTCCGGACTTTTGAAGTAAATGAACCTTTTAAAAGAAAGCTATTGTCTTAGCCTGTCTTCACCACTCAATTGTTTCTTAACTATCTTTATATACTTCACGAAATTCTAAGGAAAGAACCTAGAAATGGAAGAAAATAGTTAAGAAATCGTAAGCCCTTGGCAAAACGTTTTTTGTAAGAAATGTGGTGAGCTTTATAAGAAGAAAAAAAAATATATCAGTCTGTCATATAATAAATCTTAAGGGGACACAGTACGATTCAATTGACCAAAATCGGTCAAAAAATCAAATTTAATTTTTTTAGCCTAAATTTTTCTTTATATACTTTTCTATAACCTCACAAAATTTGAAAGCTCTAAACTTACAAAACGCAGAATTATGATAGCTTTTACTTTCGTTTTTATTCACATCCCTATGGCAAATCAAAACTTTAAACTGCCGTATCTCAGAAAGATAAAATAACTAGTTTGTCTTCATTTAAAATGCTAAGGCTTTTTTTCTATTGCGCCTAATGCTTTGAAATTTTTTTTACCTATTCCCAATAGTACATGTAACAAAAGTTGATATGCATTTTTGAATCAAAGCAATATTTATTTTTTTAAAAATAATTAAACTCAGAATTTATACATTTTTTAAGGAATTTTCAATAAAGATTCATAAAAAGAAGTATTGTAAGAATACCAACCACGTTAACGCAAAACCCATACCAACTTTTATTATTCATAGTTTGATGTACTTGTAAATCAAATTTAATGCGTGTATGTCAATTTTTGTAGGAGGAGTAGCATTTTAAAATTACTTCAAAATTTTCAAGCTTTTTCCTTAAAAAATTACATAGCTAGCTTTTTATGAAATTTTGAGCACAAAATATGTTTAACATAGTGTACATACATAGGAGGCAACCAAAAAAATATTAAAAATCCTTAAATTAAAAATTTTTGCGTAAATCGTACCATGTCCCCTTAAATGATACGTGGATTCTTTCGAGACTCAACTTTCAAGTGGTAAATCTATTAGATATTTTATGGTATAATAATTTGGAGATAGTATTGCATTATTATTATTTCCCAATTCAAGTTATAACTTAAGAATTTTATAACAACTCAAAATAAATATATTTTTTCCCGAAAAGTGCAAAGAAACTAATGAAGTTAATTTAAATAATTTTTGTAGTAAAACTAATATAGCCACATTTTATAATCAAAATCTAAGCTAAAATTAATAGTAAGCTAATAGTGTTAATTGTTCGTTTTTGCACTAACTATAAACTTCTCTATTTTCAAGACATAAGTAGACACGTGTGAAGAGAGTAGCTTCTACAATATCCTACCAGTTGAGTCAACTAATGGGTCGTGAAACGTGTTCTATAAGACACCTTTTAAAGTAAATCAGGTAATTTTCATTGAAAATTAGGGCCCGGCTATCTGCTTCTTCTGTAAAAGGCGATATAAATTGACTCGTATAAAAGTGCCCAAAATGTAGACTGAATGCCAGGATTATAGAAGTAAATGGGACCCAATAACTAAGAAAGGGAAATTGAAGTCAAGTCATGTTGGTCAGTTCATCTTTTATTTTTTCAGGAACTGTTCGACTTTGAATTTTCAATATGCATTCTCACAAGAAAAAATTAGGATTTTTATTTTCAAGCAACACACTTATCATTTCTATGTAATATTTCTGAATAAATAAGTAGATTGCGACTCTTACTTATCCAGTGAGTAATATTTGTTTTGACGGGAGCTATGGCCCATCGTACTTTGAAATATCTAAATGCGTTCAGAGTACTTTTTAAAAACAGCGTACTGAAACATTATAAATATCTTTTTAGGGATCAATGCCAAAAAATAAAAATACTTAATCAGCAATCTTTAAAATAAATTATGCAAATTTTACAAATATCCCAGTTATAAGTGAAATTTTAGCATTTTTTTTTTTTTTTAAATCTTTAAAGCACCCAGTTAAAGGAAAAATTAATAAACTTATATGAATAAAAAAACATTGCTAAAATAAGCTGCATACATTTATCTAGGGAATGTACTAAAACATTACTACTAATAAAAAAAATAAAAAAATAGAGCTGTGTGAATCAATATTATAAGAAATGTTACATATTTATGAGGCTATTATTGAAATAAGACGCCATAACTCGAAAAATATTTTTACAGTACTATCACAATCGCCATAAAAGATTTTGAACCATTTAAATGCCCATTTATTGTAGGTTAAAGACAAACTGTTGATTTTTCTAATGTTATGCAATTTATGGTAAATAAATTTACATGTAACGTATAAAAAATAATACATATTTTATAAATACACAAACATTGTTCCGTAAAATGAAGTAATAAAATGTGT